GTAAATGGATAAGCACTATAAGTCATTCAAGAGGTACAAAGAAATTGAATTATCTGGCAAACCTCTAATAGATCCCTGGCTCTGTGATCTGAATTGATTTGGTCTTTGGCTGCGGAAAGAGATGTCATTTCGATGCAGTAAAAGAGTACATTTATGTTGAAAATATCGTACTGATAACTAAAGCTGATGAATACAGTCTGAATCAGTAGGTAAATTGTGATTGAATGATTTGGAAGACTAAAAATGCTTTACCGTCTGTTTCTTCAGTAAAATTCTTCGGTTATCGCATCTTCGAGCCTCTCGCATTCTTCGTGCTGCCTTCGTTGCCTCTCTATTATCGTCTCCATACTCAATTTTTAAATTTACCTCAGTGAATTGTGTAAAAAATGGGGAATGCTATAGCCCGGGCGATGATCGGGGACGCGCCTATTAACTTCCTGGTCAGCGGCAAAAGCCTTGACATAATAATCGCTATAAGTACAATATGTTTCTTGTATAAAATTTCATAACACAAATCGACACAAAGTATACAGCACAGCGCCCACATTGTATTATATGTTCATTTGGCTTTTACAAAATATGCCATCTTTTTTATAACGAATGTTACTGCAAACGCGCATTGTGAAGTATATTATTCTTTGTTATTGAGCTTGCTTGTAATATGTTCTAAAAGATATTGATGATGCTCAAAAGTATTCTAATCGGTAAGTCTTTTTTATTCGGCACTTTTAAATCTTACAATTTATGTTTTGTATTATTATACGATTGTCATGTCTGATTATGGGCAAGCAAAGTACTCTGTCAGAGTTTGTCCAAAGTCAACATTCAAACAACTTGCACGAAAGTACTGCCCACATGAATCACATCCCAACCAGTCTTCACCATCATCTATCTTGCAAATCTTGCATACCAAACTATTTCTCCTAATAAAATAAATTTTACACATTTTACTTATGATATAGTAAACAAGCACACAATTTATAACATTACAAATGTCAGATTGATTTTATGGATAATTCCAACAAATCAATCACGACTTTAATGTTTTTGTCTAGTTTTATGTTTTAGTCTAGTTTAATGTTTTTGTCAATTAAATAAAATCTATAATTTGCCCTTTTATTAAAATATTTAAAAAAATATAATTTTTTTGTTATTACTCATAAATGTCATCATAGCAAGAACCCATAATCGTTGAAGTCACATGCTGCCTCACTTTTCTCATGTCAAACTTTGCATTTATGTCAAGATTTTGACTCAGATATTCAGCAAACTGAAATGATAAAATAAAAGAGATTTTTTGAATTGTTATTTCTTAGAACACAATGTCAAAACAACCACCAGGCAAATAATTATTCCACAGTTAAACCCATCCTCTTGCACATAGTGTGATGGCTGAATAATAGACCAAGTTGATGTGTTCCACCCACTTTTTAGATCAACAAGGGCACTTTATAAACAAAAGGATTATATTATCAACTGCACTATATCAATGTTGCTGTGTGTATTCAAGACATTGAAGTGATTCATTGAATTGGAATTTCAAATACTGGTATTTGTCACGAAGTAATGTATGTATACTTACCAAATGCTTTTGATAAACTGTGAAAGTTCAACTCTTGTTGTCTCACTGATAACTTCTTCTACATGACCTTCCATAGGATCAAGGTAGTATACCATCTCTTTTTGTTTGTCGATTACCTTTAAAAGTGACAATATTGAAAATAATAAAAATTTGTCTTCTTGTCTTAGCTATGTTGCATTCATATTGTATTTACCAAAAGTGTCCAATGGCTCCCAGACATATTGAAAGGAAATATTATTGTGTCAATTGCCATGAAATTTTGATCTGCCCACAGTCGACATGTACTAGATCCTCGTTGCACCAACTGACATACATATGATTCTGCTGGTAGGACACCAGGATATTCACATGAAAGTTTCCATAAGAAAGCGTTGATAACCTATAACAATCAGGCTCATTTACCATTTCATCATTTGTCTCTGATGCATGATAATCATATGTAAGCTGTAGAGTGTTTAATCACTTGACTTACTGTATCACTAAGCCATCCAGGTGCCACAGTTTTATTTTCAATTAGTGTGGCAGCATATTTAGTCATCTCATTTGGTGGAATGAGGGTCCATAAATCTGAAGGGTCACTTTGTTTGGTCCAAATTCTAGCATTTGATCACCTAACTTAATTCCATTTAGAGAGGCATTCAGTAAGCGATCCAGTGGATTTGCCTTGTGCTCAGCTGAGACGTCAACACTACAGTTGCCATTTAGGAAAAGAAAAGTGGACTATGTGTAATGGTATAGTCCTCACTCATATTGAATAATTACTACATAGTAAATATAAATACTACACTGAAATGTTACTACCCCTCTCATCATTGCACAAATATTTTTGGAAAGTTTTCTCCATTCAATATTTCTCTATTGCTATATGTTTGTACCTGCTTGAATTTCTTTTTCATTCTCCTGGTTTTGCACATTAGTGGACACCTATGAAAATAAAAAGACTACTTTCAGAAAATACTCGTGACGAGATGTAATCTAAAGAATTACGAACAACTTGTTCAAACGTTGTTTTCGAGTATGGCAAAAATGAGTGCGATTTAGAAGACAAAAACCCACAATTTGGTGATGCCCTTTGTATCGTATATCTAATGGCTGGTGAAAATTACTTTTGAAACAATACTTTAATAAGATATTGGAAAGTAAGATAAGTGCTTTTGTCTTTTTACTCTTTTCGGACGGATAAGAAATTTTTTAAACATAAAAGTAATCATTTGAGAGAAGCTTTTTTAAGAAATGACAAGAAAGCAATTCAATAACTTGTCTTACTTGTGCCATTTCATCGCCCACATTAGTAAGATCTATTGTATATGGTGTAGACTTTTTTGTCTTGCGTCATCTGGGAGGTAGGGCATTATGAAAGATTTGATGGTATTTTGTCTCGGTAACCTTTAATTTTTTTTTCACAGGACTCAATCGAAGGGGCAAACCATTTTCTGTGGGAAAGTTTTGTTCAAGAAACTGTTTCAAGCTTTCAGCTTTTTGCACTGCTTCTTGTAGAGTGGTCTCGTTGTCGATCAAGAAGGTCATACTGTGTATTTGGCCCAGTTGTTCTTGCAAGATCTTTCTGAGCCTTTTGGAACTTTTGTTTGAAGTAGTTTCAAACTTAACTGTTTCTTCGTGGTGTATGTCGTGGATATATTTTTTGTTATCAGAAGACAACGATTCTTGAAAAGCAACGTCTCTTTTGATGGTGCTCCATGATGACGTATTGGCTTCCTCTAGTTCTTCTGGCGTAGTATCTTGTGGCAATCCAAGAGGTTCATTGTCGAGAGTGATGAAAACGCTATTTCGGTAGTCTTCTGGAAGACTTTCGAAATCCCACTCGTCATAGAAGAAAAAACTGCGAAAAAATGTTTGCAAGGGAAATGGGTAGTGTGCCATATGTTGCAAGTACAACTTGGTTCTCGGAAGTCTATGAAATGTTTCTTTCCAACATAGCTCTCGCTCTTGACATTGAACGTGCCCTTCTTTAAATTAACCGGAGTTATGTCGTCCTGTTTGAAAATGGCTGAAGCGTATCGATTTTTAAGGCAACATTTCAAAATGTGCGGAGGTCTGTTGTGCAAGTATTCTGGGATTGATGGGTTGTACTTGCAGTAGGCGCTGCTCAGTCGCAGGTTTGCCTCCAAATAGTGCTGAAGAACATCGGGAATGAAAGATTCAACCAACATCACCGCAATACCATACACAGATTTGTCAATACTTTGGGGTAAGTATTCGTATTTAAAGACTCTGTTTTGAGCCTCAACGCCATTGTTAGTATTAACAATGTTGGTGACTTGCTGTTTTCGAAAAGCGTGTGCCCATCTGACAGCGCAAGAAAACCACGTACGGTCAACATATTCTCTCATCTTGCTGCATTCTTTATACACTTTAGACTCTCGAAAATCTTTTACTGCCTTGTCGTACTCCAGTTTGGTACTGACATTAGCAATCTTTTTCATTTGCAGAAGGAAGTGTTGTTGCTGTTCATATGACAATCCATTCTTGCTTTCTGAAGCCCACCGTTTTAGCGCTTGCAACCTGTGAAAGTCGCAAACATAAACCTGTACATCGGGAAAACTTTTTTCTATCGCGCCTATTTCTGCTAATGAGTAATCCACCATAAAATATTTTGGGTTCCATACTGGATTCCATCCTTTACAGTAGCCAGAGCCTGTTGGAGGTTGTAAAACTGTCGGATTTTCGAGGAATACTACGGTTCATTAATGGACCGTAGTACTCCTCGAAAACCTAACAATTGGAATTATGTAGTCAGACAAAAATTTCGCCTCTTACGTTCCCAACACTTGATGTTTAATGTTGGAAAACACGAGCAATCGACAATATGTTGCATTGATGCTTGAGGCGAACTTTATTCATGGCAACTATGAGACTTTCTTGTCATGATTACTTTAGATGAAAATATGGAACCTCTGTATAAAACACAAGACTTACTGTAGTGATATTTTCGACACAGCTGTCTAATCACGACGTTGGCGTCATCAGAAGGCTTACAGGAACTGCATTTATCTGTGGAAAATCTGCAATTGTTATTTCTTATTCATGATATTACACATGGATATCAACTGTTTATCCTACCTTGAGCACATTTACACGAGTCATGGTCGCAAGTCCGTAGATGAAGTCATGAAGACGACTGTCAACTTTAGGACCGTAGAACTTCGTACATATTTTCTCTAAAGATATGGAAGAAAAGAAGATACTCCACTATAAGTACTAGCTCGATACAAAATCTTGCTTTTTCTAATATTATGTATGTAGTGAAACAACTCGTTCCTATCTCAAAGTTCTCGAGCTGTGAATAAATAAGCCCTTACCTGGATCATAATAGTCGTACACGGACACAGGGACAGGTTGAACTATTCCGACTTCAAAGTCACGTTTGAACTCCAGATTGAAACAAAGCGCGTGTGTGCTGGCTATTTTGTCCAGGTACAAATACACGTGTCGGTCAGATATTTCAACTTCGCTATTCCTGGATTAGCTTTGTCTTGAAGCTAAAAGAAAATGTAATTTTTAACAAATGGATTCAAAGAATTAGGTATATATTTTCTTACGAGGGAATAGCGAATAAAGAAAAACACTTCAATTGCACGAAATCTGGATACTGTTTTTTTTTTATTTTTCTGTTTGTTTGAAACATATTTTAATGGTCGCCAAGCTACAGATAAAATTGAACTATCCATGAAATTAAGACCACATTTTCATTCTCGTGCAACTGATTTGTGTAGTTCCTAAAAACCGAATTCTTAAACACAAAAGAAATATATTTCTTCGATCAGGCTATCTTGTTTCACACTAAATCCAGTGAGAACACCAACATCGATAATTGACATTCCTGCGCTTTCATTAACCAGTCAAAAACCTGTAGAAATGTAGCGTTTTACACATCTGGTAAAATAAAGAATGTATAACAGCTTGCTACCAAAAAGTTAAAACATTTTACATTTTACGTGCGGGTGTTGTAGGTCTGGGCCTTCTTCTACGCCCACCATTTCGTCGTCTGTTACATCGTTTTCTACATTTTGACTTTCGTCGACGAGAACACCTTTTTCCCTTTCTTGATCCTTTTCTGCGACATTTCCTTTTAGATGAGCTCTTAGGCTTCTTTGGAATCACAAATATTAGTGGGTCCAAAAATCGACGAACATGTTCGATAGTTGTAACATTCAAGTCAAAATGACAAGCTTCATTTTCAGACGATGGTGTGTTACACTTTAACTGAACCTAATGGAAATTTTAATTGAGAATCGTACACCTAAATCAACGCGACGTCACATAAGTTGATCTTAGGCTCGGGATTGATGTAGATCAGGTTTTAAAGCAAGGTTACTATCAATACAAGTTCAGTAGATATGAGAACAGGAAATTACCTGTAGTTGAGCCACACCAGAATCTTTAGCTGTAATAAATAATTCATCTCCAATCTGGTGGGTTAACTAAAAAAATTAACATTTATTTAATACAAAAATTACCAAAGAACTGTAGTAAGACCATGCTAAATTAGCAACTGTATTTAGTGGTTTTCAATGTAACTATAGCAACAACATAGTAAAGAAAACACCTAATCACTGCTTTTCAAACAATTTTTTTCACAAACAAAAATTTATCCAAATCCAGCAACTCAAAGTTGTTGCTTGTAGAACGTTTTTGAGCAGAAACTAATTTTTTCACGACACAACAACATACATCAAGACGTTGTTGAACCAAAGCATTTCTCTGATTAATCATCAATGTATTCTTGAAATTTCTATCAGTTGTTATTTCAATTTGCATGTTTAGTTGATCTCCACCGGAAGCTTCGCTGTAACCTGCCAAGGCTTGTAAAGCAACACATGTGTCCTAACATATAAAACAAATAATAAATAATCATACAATTCAAGAAATAAGCTGGGCAAATGTCTTCATTGGCAATTCAAAAGCATTGTACATGAGGGATTTGTGGTATGCAACTCTACTCTATGGCACTTATTATATTGTAGAAGGAAAGAAATGAAATGTACTTTCACCAGTTATTCGTAAAATCATTAGATGAAGTTTAAGGTAACGATATAAAGGTTTCTTTCTCGACACAGGACTTTTTAAATTGGCAATGCCAAGTCCATTTTCATGAAATCGTGAATAGATTATAAAAAATCTCACCTGAGTAGAGACAAAACCACCCCCACCTCTTCTCTGTTCCGTTAGCCAAACGACAATCGGTCCCGCATACCCTCGACGCTTTAGAGCTAGTTGAGTTAAAAGGGCATACGACGTTGTTTCAACAGCTATAGCATTTCCACCTTGTGCATCGTCCCAGTGACGTGTGTTCTTCCCTAAAAGCGAAGATATCGTTTTGTTTATTGATGGATGAAAAAAAAAGGTTAAAAACAAAGCCCGAATGAACATACCGACGTCGTATATTGCTACATTTAATAAATCCTGGTTAGCTTGGAGTTTTTGTGGGCTGTCTGCTAGAGCCAAAGCGTATGCTACCACAGCCTTTACGTAAATACGGCCAATATTAGCTTGTGAACTCTCCAAGAAAGCCACAGCATTTGTTACGGTTTGTTGAGAGATCTAAATATGTGATTTAGTCATTTGCGAGGATATGACGGCAAGTTGAAGAAATTGCACCAAAAAACACTTGGCAAGATGCATTACTGAAGAGACAAGTCCAGAATGTTGAGAGATAAGCATTACATTACCTGTATAAAACCCTTGCACTCAAGAAACGCTGTAACTACATAGGAGGTCATGGTGATATCTTTGTTGATGTCCCCCTAAAGAAAATGAATGTGAGCAACAGCAAAAACGCCAAAATATAGTTACATAAACTGTATGAAAATGCAACGACATACATCCATTTCTTGATGAATCACTGGATGTGACTCGATGATTGCACCATCACCTCGCTGTTTGGTTTTCAGCCAATTTATGGCTGTACTAATAACATTTACGTCGACATCAATGCCATCGAGTTTCTGAATGGCACAGAATGTTTTCACAACAAATGCAGTTAACCTAATTGCGAGAAAAACAGGTAGAAACATAAAGTTACTATAAACATGAAAGTGATATGGCGTAGTTTCTCATCCCTATTCAAACATACAATGTACTTCCAGGTCTGCTGTTACCAAAAGCACTAAAAGAATTGTCGCTTCTACGGTAGTTCAGTTCATTTTGGTACCCTAGCAAGATCCAAAATAAATAAAGAGGTTTGACAGATAATTGTAAAACAGTTCCTAAACTGTATCTTTTTATGGAATTTACAAATAATGTGACCTAGTTAATTTCAACGTTTTCCTGTTTTAGAATGGAAGTGAAGTGCACTTTGTTGACATTTTGCATTTTCAAGCTTTGGTCAAATCGAGCATAAATACTATGACAAGCACGCATTACATATTGTATGAATACATATTTCTTAGCCAACAGAATCGTTTGCGCCTAAATATCAACCGTTCATTCTAGCCTTGCTGTTTTTATATTCCTCTCCTGTGCATTTAATACAAAGAGTTTTGACAATCTTGTGCGTATGCAGCATGAATAAAACATCGCACAGAATAGAAAAAACAAGGTTTCCAGACCCCTTACGCGGTTATTTATACACGCGTCAAACAGTCTGGTTGTGTCATCTCGTGCGACTGTTGGTCTCTTTATTCACTTTATTTGTGTGAAAGACGAGGCTTTGTACTACGAAAACCTCAGGGATCTCCTGAAAGAGCAAAGAATGCTCCGGGTTTGAAAACGATTATAATTCCAAAAACTCCAAGCTAACCAGGATTTATTAAATGTAGCAATATACGACGTCGGTATGTTCATTCGGGCTTTGTTTTTAACCTTTTTTTTTCATCCATCAATAAACAAAACGATATCTTCGCTTTTAGGGAAGAACACACGTCACTGGGACGATGCACAAGGTGGAAATGCTATAGCTGTTGAAACAACGTCGTATGCCCTTTTAACTCAACTAGCTCTAAAGCGTCGAGGGTATGCGGGACCGATTGTCGTTTGGCTAACGGAACAGAGAAGAGGTGGGGGTGGTTTTGTCTCTACTCAGGTGAGATTTTTTATAATCTATTCACGATTTCATGAAAATGGACTTGGCATTGCCAATTTAAAAAAGTCCTGTGTCGAGAAAGAAACCTTTATATCGTTACCTTAAACTTCATCTAATGATTTTACGAATAACTGGTGAAAGTACATTTCATTTCTTTCCTTCTACAATATAATAAGTGCCATAGAGTAGAGTTGCATACCACAAATCCCTCATGTACAATGCTTTTGAATTGCCAATGAAGACATTTGCCCAGCTTATTTCTTGAATTGTATGATTATTTATTATTTGTTTTATATGTTAGGACACATGTGTTGCTTTACAAGCCTTGGCAGGTTACAGCGAAGCTTCCGGTGGAGATCAACTAAACATGCAAATTGAAATAACAACTGATAGAAATTTCAAGAATACATTGATGATTAATCAGAGAAATGCTTTGGTTCAACAACGTCTTGATGTATGTTGTTGTGTCGTGAAAAATTAGTTTCTGCTCAAAACGTTCTACAAGCAACAACTTTGAGTTGCTGGATTTGGATAAATTTTTGTTTGTGAAAAAAATTGTTTGAAAAGCAGTGATTAGGTGTTTTCTTTACTATGTTGTTGCTATAGTTACATTGAAAACCACTAAATACAGTTGCTAATTTAGCATGGTCTTACTACAGTTCTTTGGTAATTTTTGTATTAAATAAATGTTAATTTTTTTAGTTAACCCACCAGATTGGAGATGAATTATTTATTACAGCTAAAGATTCTGGTGTGGCTCAACTACAGGTAATTTCCTGTTCTCATATCTACTGAACTTGTATTGATAGTAACCTTGCTTTAAAAACCTGATCTACATCAATCCCGAGCCTAAGATCAACTTATGTGACGTCGCGTTGATTTAGGTGTACGATTCTCAATTAAAATTTCCATTAGGTTCAGTTAAAGTGTAACACACCATCGTCTGAAAATGAAGCTTGTCATTTTGACTTGAATGTTACAACTATCGAACATGTTCGTCGATTTTTGGACCCACTAATATTTGTGATTCCAAAGAAGCCTAAGAGCTCATCTAAAAGGAAATGTCGCAGAAAAGGATCAAGAAAGGGAAAAAGGTGTTCTCGTCGACGAAAGTCAAAATGTAGAAAACGATGTAACAGACGACGAAATGGTGGGCGTAGAAGAAGGCCCAGACCTACAACACCCGCACGTAAAATGTAAAATGTTTTAACTTTTTGGTAGCAAGCTGTTATACATTCTTTATTTTACCAGATGTGTAAAACGCTACATTTCTACAGGTTTTTGACTGGTTAATGAAAGCGCAGGAATGTCAATTATCGATGTTGGTGTTCTCACTGGATTTAGTGTGAAACAAGATAGCCTGATCGAAGAAATATATTTCTTTTGTGTTTAAGAATTCGGTTTTTAGGAACTACACAAATCAGTTGCACGAGAATGAAAATGTGGTCTTAATTTCATGGATAGTTCAATTTTATCTGTAGCTTGGCGACCATTAAAATATGTTTCAAACAAACAGAAAAATAAAAAAAAAACAGTATCCAGATTTCGTGCAATTGAAGTGTTTTTCTTTATTCGCTATTCCCTCGTAAGAAAATATATACCTAATTCTTTGAATCCATTTGTTAAAAATTACATTTTCTTTTAGCTTCAAGACAAAGCTAATCCAGGAATAGCGAAGTTGAAATATCTGACCGACACGTGTATTTGTACCTGGACAAAATAGCCAGCACACACGCGCTTTGTTTCAATCTGGAGTTCAAACGTGACTTTGAAGTCGGAATAGTTCAACCTGTCCCTGTGTCCGTGTACGACTATTATGATCCAGGTAAGGGCTTATTTATTCACAGCTCGAGAACTTTGAGATAGGAACGAGTTGTTTCACTACATACATAATATTAGAAAAAGCAAGATTTTGTATCGAGCTAGTACTTATAGTGGAGTATCTTCTTTTCTTCCATATCTTTAGAGAAAATATGTACGAAGTTCTACGGTCCTAAAGTTGACAGTCGTCTTCATGACTTCATCTACGGACTTGCGACCATGACTCGTGTAAATGTGCTCAAGGTAGGATAAACAGTTGATATCCATGTGTAATATCATGAATAAGAAATAACAATTGCAGATTTTCCACAGATAAATGCAGTTCCTGTAAGCCTTCTGATGACGCCAACGTCGTGATTAGACAGCTGTGTCGAAAATATCACTACAGTAAGTCTTGTGTTTTATACAGAGGTTCCATATTTTCATCTAAAGTAATCATGACAAGAAAGTCTCATAGTTGCCATGAATAAAGTTCGCCTCAAGCATCAATGCAACATATTGTCGATTGCTCGTGTTTTCCAACATTAAACATCAAGTGTTGGGAACGTAAGAGGCGAAATTTTTGTCTGACTACATAATTCCAATTGTTAGGTTTTCGAGGAGTACTACGGTCCATTAATGAACCGTAGTATTCCTCGAAAAGTCCGACAGTTTTTACAACCTCCAACAGGCTCTGGCTACTGTAAAAGGATGGAATCCAGTATGGAACCCAAAATATTTTATGGTGGATTACTCATTAGCAGAAATAGGCGCGATAGAAAAAAGTTTTCCCGATGTACAGGTTTATGTTTGCGACTTTCACAGGTTGCAAGCGCTAAAACGGTGGGCTTCAGAAAGCAAGAATGGATTGTCATATGAACAGCAACAACACTTCCTTCTGCAAATGAAAAAGATTGCTAATGTCAGTACCAAACTGGAGTACGACAAGGCAGTAAAAGATTTTCGAGAGTCTAAAGTGTATAAAGAATGCAGCAAGATGAGAGAATATGTTGACCGTACGTGGTTTTCTTGCGCTGTCAGATGGGCACACGCTTTTCGAAAACAGCAAGTCACCAACATTGTTAATACTAACAATGGCGTTGAGGCTCAAAACAGAGTCTTTAAATACGAATACTTACCCCAAAGTATTGACAAATCTGTGTATGGTATTGCGGTGATGTTGGTTGAATCTTTCATTCCCGATGTTCTTCAGCACTATTTGGAGGCAAACCTGCGACTGAGCAGCGCCTACTGCAAGTACAACCCATCAATCCCAGAATACTTGCACAACAGACCTCCGCACATTTTGAAATGTTGCCTTAAAAATCGATACGCTTCAGCCATTTTCAAACAGGACGACATAACTCCGGTTAATTTAAAGAAGGGCACGTTCAATGTCAAGAGCGAGAGCTATGTTGGAAAGAAACATTTCATAGACTTCCGAGAACCAAGTTGTACTTGCAACATATGGCACACTACCCATTTCCCTTGCAAACATTTTTTCGCAGTTTTTTCTTCTATGACGAGTGGGATTTCGAAAGTCTTCCAGAAGACTACCGAAATAGCGTTTTCATCACTCTCGACAATGAACCTCTTGGATTGCCACAAGATACTACGCCAGAAGAACTAGAGGAAGCCAATACGTCATCATGGAGCACCATCAAAAGAGACGTTGCTTTTCAAGAATCGTTGTCTTCTGATAACAAAAAATATATCCACGACATACACCACGAAGAAACAGTTAAGTTTGAAACTACTTCAAACAAAAGTTCCAAAAGGCTCAGAAAGATCTTGCAAGAACAACTGGGCCAAATACACAGTATGACCTTCTTGATCGACAACGAGACCACTCTACAAGAAGCAGTGCAAAAAGCTGAAAGCTTGAAACAGTTTCTTGAACAAAACTTTCCCACAGAAAATGGTTTGCCCCTTCGATTGAGTCCTGTGAAAAAATTAAAGGTTACCGAGACAAAATACCATCAAATCTTTCATAATGCCCTACCTCCCAGATGACGCAAGACAAAAAAGTCTACACCATATACAATAGATCTTACTAATGTGGGCGATGAAATGGCACAAGTAAGACAAGTTATTGAATTGCTTTCTTGTCATTTCTTAAAAAAGCTTCTCTCAAATGATTACTTTTATGTTTAAAAAATTTCTTATCCGTCCGAAAAGAGTAAAAAGACAAAAGCACTTATCTTACTTTCCAATATCTTATTAAAGTATTGTTTCAAAAGTAATTTTCACCAGCCATTAGATATACGATACAAAGGGCATCACCAAATTGTGGGTTTTTGTCTTCTAAATCGCACTCATTTTTGCCATACTCGAAAACAACGTTTGAACAAGTTGTTCGTAATTCTTTAGATTACATCTCGTCACGAGTATTTTCTGAAAGTAGTCTTTTTATTTTCATAGGTGTCCACTAATGTGCAAAACCAGGAGAATGAAAAAGAAATTCAAGCAGGTACAAACATATAGCAATAGAGAAATATTGAATGGAGAAAAACTTTCCAAAAATATTTGTGCAATGATGAGAGGGGGGTAGTAACATTTCAGTGTAGTATTTATATTTACTATGTAGTAATTATTCAATATGAGTGAGGACTATACCATTACACATAGTCCACTTTTCTTTTCCTAAATGGCAACTGTAGTGTTGACGTCTCAGCTGAGCACAAGGCAAATCCACTGGATCGCTTACTGAATGCCTCTCTAAATGGAATTAAGTTAGGTGATCAAATGCTAGAATTTGGACCAAACAAAGTGACCCTTCCAGATTTATGGACCCTCATTCCACCAAATGAGATGACTAAATATGCTGCCACACTAATTGAAAATAAAACTGTGGCACCTGGATGGCTTAGTGATACAGTAAGTCAAGTGATTAAACACTCTACAGCTTACATATGATTATCATGCATCAGAGACAAATGATGAAATGGTAAATGAGCCTGATTGTTATAGGTTATCAACGCTTTCTTATGGAAACTTTCATGTGAATATCCTGGTGTCCTACCAGCAGAATCATATGTATGTCAGTTGGTGCAACGAGGATCTAGTACATGTCGACTGTGGGCAGATCAAAATTTCATGGCAATTGACACAATAATATTTCCTTTCAATATGTCTGGGAGCCATTGGACACTTTTGGTAAATACAATATGAATGCAACATAGCTAAGACAAGAAGACAAATTTTTATTATTTTCAATATTGTCACTTTTAAAGGTAATCGACAAACAAAAAGAGATGGTATACTACCTTGATCCTATGGAAGGTCATGTAGAAGAAGTTATCAGTGAGACAACAAGAGTTGAACTTTCACAGTTTATCAAAAGCATTTGGTAAGTATACATACATTACTTCCGTGACAAATACCAGTATTTGAAATTCCAATTCAATGAATCACTTCAATGTCTTGAATACACACAGCAACATTGATATAGTGCAGTTGATAATATAATCCTTTTGTTTATAAAGTGCCCTTGTTGATCTAAAAAGTGGGTGGAACACATCAACTTGGTCTATTATTCAGCCATCACACTATGTGCAAGAGGATGGGTTTAACTGTGGAATAATTATTTGCCTGGTGGTTGTTTTGACATTGTGTTCTAAGAAATAACAATTCAAAAAAAATCTCTTTTATTTTTATCATTTCAGTTTGCTGAATATCTGAGTCAAAATCTTGACATAAATGCAAAGTTTGACATGAGAAAAGTGAGGCAGCATGTGACTTCAACGATTATGGGTTCTTGCTATGATGACATTTATGAGTAATAACAAAAAAATTATATTTTTTTAAATATTTTAATAAAAGGGGCAAATTATAGATTTTATTTAATTGACAAAAACATTAAACTAGACTAAAACATAAAACTAGACAAAAACATTAAAGTCGTGATTGATTTGTTGGAATTATCCATAAAATCAATCTGACATTTGTAATGTTATAAATTGTGTGCTTGTTTACTATATCATAAGTAAAATGTGTAAAATTTATTTTATTAGGAGAAATAGTTTGGTATGCAAGATTTGCAAGATAGATGATGGTGAAGACTGGTTGGGATGTGATTCATGTGGGCAGTACTTTCGTGCAAGTTGTTTGAATGTTGACTTTGGACAAACTCTGACAGAGTACTTTGCTTGCCCATAATCAGACATGACAATCGTATAATAATACAAAACATAAATTGTAAGATTTAAAAGTGCCGAATAAAAAAGACTTACCGATTAGAATACTTTTGAGCATCATCAATATCTTTTAGAACATATTACAAGCAAGCTCAATAACAAAGAATAATATACTTCACAATGCGCGTTTGCAGTAACATTCGTTATAAAAAAGATGGCATATTTTGTAAAAGCCAAATGAACATATAATACAATGTGGGCGCTGTGCTGTATACTTTGTGTCGATTTGTGTTATGAAATTTTATACAAGAAACATATTGTACTTATAGCGATTATTATGTCAAGGCTTTTGCCGCTGACCAGGAAGTTAATAGGCGCGTCCCCGATCATCGCCCGGGCTATAGCATTCCCCATTTTTTACACAATTCACTGAGGTAAATTTAAAAATTGAGTATGGAGACGATAATAGAGAGGCAACGAAGGCAGCACGAAGAATGCGAGAGGCTCGAAGATGCGATAACCGAAGAATTTTTACTGAAGAAACAGACGGTAAAGCATTTTTAGTCTTCCAAATCATTCAATCACAATTTACCTACTGATTCAGACTGTATTCATCAGCTTTAGTTATCAGTACGATATTTTCAACATAAATGTACTCTTTTACTGCATCGAAATGACATCTCTTTCCGCAGCCAAAAGACCAAATCAATTCAGATCACAGAGCCAGGGATCTATTAGAGGTTTGCCAGATAATTCAATTTCTTTGTACCTCTTGAATGACTTATAGTGCTTATCCATTTACAAAAATAAGGTTAACTTTAAAACTACAATCCTGTGCTTAAATAATTTAGCCTTTTTGTTTGCACAACACCACCAGACATTGAATTTGATTTTGTATATCAACTCACCAGTCACATTGTCTATTTAATTGAAATGTGCATCTGTCTTTTTGTAGAGATATCTCTCTTCTACTAGCTCGTTGCTGACATTGTATAATGATAATGATGGGTAAGAATGTACATTTTGATAGTTTTTTTATGAGCTTAGTTAATTTAAGGTGAGAATTAGCCGACTAGCGCTGCATTATGTGAGTCGAACTACAACATTCAGTTATTGCAAATGTATTTATTTCATTTGTGTTGGTTCATTTCTTATACTTGGGAAATGTCTATCCTGTTCTAGGATGAGGAAAGAAGAAATATCTGCTTTATCTGGGCCCAATGAGTTTGCTGAATTCTACAGCAGATTACGAGTTATCAAAGACTATCACAGAAAGTATCCAAATGAGGTGATATGATTTAGAATGAATGCATATGCAGCCATTGGGAAATGTATTTCATTTCAGGAAAATATTTTGTTCATTGTTGTTTTGGATACCATTGAAACACCATGGAATAGTAAATTTTCTTGAAAGAAATTGCATGAAATTGATTTGGTTTG